TAATAGCCCTTTGGTGAACGAAACTGTGCAGTGGAAGGATAATTTGGTTTGGGTTTTGCTAAGTGTGCGCACTATACACGGTGTAGGAGAATAGAATGCCAGGAGGAAGATGGAAATCTGAAATAGAGGACGTGTAAGTCATAAGGTGTCATGCTAGGGAGATAAGATAAGTCATGTTAGGGAGAAAAGTCAAAGGAACGGGTGGAAAGAAATGACCTTGGGCGTTAAAGGGAGTCTCATGTTTGTTTTCGAGGACGGAGGGAAGTGGCGTTGGAGCAGAGGTTAAAAGAAAATCATACACTTATCACTCTTATCTTGACACAGCTTTTGTGATTAAGTGGTAATTAGGAATGAGGCAAAAAGACGGCGGGTGTCCTGCAGATAGTCATCAGTAATACAGTGTTGACCAGCAATTAAACTGGCGAGTCTATCCAATTATCAAACTCCTTTTGTGGCGAAATCCCAATGGCCGATCTGCATCTGGAAACATAACCTGCACTTTGTATGGCGTTATTTTTTCGTCTTAGTGAGCCGTTGAACATAGATGAGTAATTCACAACTATAAAATACATGCGCGAGGATCATGAGTGCCGAGGGTGTGCGGGAAGGAGCGTGCAGACGGGCCTCGCCTTGGCGTATATATTAGGCCATGCGAGTACCAAAGAGTCGAAGGTCGGGTTCCTCCGCTTTGTCCTTCCCGAGCGTCATAGTGGATCCACCCACGAAATTGCAGGAAAGCGATGCTAATAAGACGAGTCATGGCCCTATAAGTGTGGCCGAGGGCGCGCGGGCGGCTGAAATAAGAGGAGAAGCGAGCAAGCAGGTGGGCGTCGACCAGCCAGCCACGGGCGCTGAAGACACTAGTGCCTGGCGGGCAAGTATGTGTCTGCCCGCCAGATTTTTGCTGATGTGTGCAGTTAGATAAGTTGAGGTTCACTGGTTATAAAAGAGGTAGAGAAAAGAGTAGTCTAGCAAAAAAAGAACAAATAGTTTATATACAAAGGGCATATAAGTACGTTTATATATTATCTTTTGATGTTACGAAATATAAGATGGAAAAGCAAACATAGAGGTAGAAAAAGAAAGGAATCCGAGTAAGGGTTTGAAGAAAATATACCAAAAGTAAATGATGTAATTAGAGTCAATGCAAACAAGAAACACCTGGATACACCGCACTTAAGTAGCTACATGGTGTAAGGCAGGCACAGAGAGCGAGTGTTGCTTCATGAAGGGAAGGCACAAGCCCCTCCTGTTGTGCCTTCGCTATCGTAGGTGTTTACTGCCAATACACATGCAGGAAGATGAAGGTGCACTTGTAAGGAAACCCTCTTCACTCAGACTGCAAAGCGTTTCTTCTTTTTCCCCCCGAAGAATAAAGCCTGTAGCATTTACATAAGCTGTCTAATCTCGGTGTTTTTGAGTCATGAAAACACTGTATCTGAAACCGCTTGGTAAGATAAAGGGTTGGCTTAGTCTGCTTCGGTAAAGGAACACTAATACTTATTTTTCCTGCTGATAAGAATCTCAGATCCTGCTAGATATCTCCCGAAGTCTTGAAAATTATACGTGAAGGATATTAAAGTGTATATTAGGTTCATAGATTAGGTTCATGACTCATGTATGTAAGAGAGTGGTTGATTATGCACAGTCTGTGAACAGTAGGATTATGCGCATGTATGTAACCTCCCTTCATACTATCGCTCTCTCTCTCTCTCTCTCTCTCTCTCTCTCTCTCTCTCTCTCTCTCTCTCTCTCTCTCTCTCTTCTCTCTCTCTCTCTCTCTCTCTCTCTCTCTCTCTCTCTCTCTCTCTCTCTCTCTCTCTCTTCTCTCTCTCTCTCTCTCTCTCTCTTCTCTTCTCTCTCTCTCTCTCTCTCTCTCTCTCTCTCTCTCTCTCTCTCTCTCTCTCTCTCTCTCTCTCTCTCCTCCTCTCTCTCTCTCTCTCTCTCTCCTCTCTCTCTCTCTCTCCTCTCTCTCTCTCTCTCTCTCTCTCTCTCTCTCTCTCTCTCTCTCTCTCTCTCTTCGTCTCTCTCTCTCTCTCTCTCCTCTCTCTCTGTCTCTCTCTCTCTCTCTTTCCGTCTCTCTCTCTCTCTCTCTCTCTCTCTCTCTCTCTCTCTCTCTCTTCTCTCTCTCTCTCTCTCTCTCTCTCTCTCTCTCTCTCTCTCTCTCTCTCTCTTCTCTCTCTCTCTCTCTCTCTCTCTCTCTCTCTCTCTCTCTCTCTCTCTCTCTCTCCTCCCCCTCTCCCTCTCCTCTCCTCTCCTTCCCTCTCCCTCTCCCCCTCTCCTCTCTCTCCTCTCTCTCTCCCCTCCCCCTCCCCTCTCCCCCCTCTCTCCTCTCTCTCCTCTCTCTCTCTCTCTCTCTCTCTCTCTCTCTCTCTCTACTCTCTCTCTCTCTCTCTCTCTCTCTCTCTCTCTCTCTCTCTCTCTCTCTCTCTCTCTCTCTCTCTCTCTCTCTCTTTCGTTTATTATACAATGGCCTTCCAATAGTAGACTCTATAACATTTTTTCTATTCGTTTTGATATTACGAAAATTGATATTTTTGCTTTGCCATTACGATTATATCATTAGTAACAGAGCTTATTTCGCGGATGTGTAGGTCAGGCAGTAGTGCGAAGGCGGCGGCACGTTAGGCGCAATGCTACTAATCTGATCAGATAAGAAGAGCTTGTCGGACCCAATTAACACCTCCCGGACACTGATCTCCCGTTAACTCTGCTGAGGATTTGTCCTTACCGGTCCTCCCCCTCCTCCTTCCACCTCCCCTTCCCACTTTCCTTCCCCTTTCTTTTCCCCTTCCCTTTCTCCTTCCTCTTCCCCTTCCTCTCCTTCTGCTCCTTCATCTCTTTCTCCTTCTCCAGCCCTCCCTTTACCCGCGAATGCTGACAAGTGTCGCTGATATCGCAACAGTTCCCACTTAAGCTGTGCATCCTTAAATAGAACAGAATCCCCTCGACCCCCGGACTCCCAGCTGTCAGAGAGTCGGAAATCCTCCTTGACGAGGCCGCTCTCATGACCTCTAGCGACACAGGCGGCACGAACTGACTTAGCAGAGTCGGCGAAGAAATGATGAATTAGCAAAGACTGGAGGCGCCGCCCTTTTATGTCTTATCTCCGAGCTTTAGTGGCGCCGCCCTCGCCCGACGTGCCTCCGCGTATGACGGACAACCCCCAAACACTCCCTCGATCCGCGGGTAATTATCGAAAGATGTTTGAAACGATCCGGGTTTGAAGGCGACGGGTACGGGGGTGGGTGACCTCATGCGGGTCCAGCTACGAATATCGACGGCGTGTGCGGCCGGGTTTCGTGCGAGCTTTCCTCTCTCCTTTTATTTGTTAGCGGCGATATAGTTTTGACTGTTGCATTATTTTGTTTTAGTAATAGTCGTATATTAATGTTGTCTTCGCTTGGCTCAAAGAACTGTTGTCTTCGCTTGGCTCAAAGGACTGTTGTCTTCGCTTGGCTGTAGGGTAAGAACGCTGACTAAGATTTCAGACTACTTTCGTTTTTGGGTTCTCTGGAACCGATTTTTAGTTTGCTCCAAATCATTGTTATAGTGAGGTCGCTATCTTGGGACTCGCATTTGGCACGGCTTTCAGACCAGTGTGAAGCTATTCCCTGTTACTGAATTTAGGCATTTTATGGATCCTATCGCGAAAACTACTCCAGGATTGCAATTGACACCATTCTAGGAAAGAAATTGCTGCGCTTTTCCATTTGTATCACATCCTTAGACTTTATGCCCAATATGGGAAGTTATGCAATCTTTTGTCGGTGCCGCTGAGGCGATAAACCCGTCTTACTGATCGCGTCCAAGAAAGGGACATTAGGGCGATAGTGACGGCCATTGAGGATAAAGGAAGAAGGAGCAGGCAAGCGGTCGTGTCGCTCTCCAGGGATGCACTCGTACGGGGAGGGGAGATGGGAAGGGGAGGGGGAGGGGGGGGAAAAGGGAGGAGGTGAAGCAAGGTGGCAACTAATGGACGCTGTTTATATGCAGGAGAAGCTCCTCTCGTGATAACATCGAGGGAGAGAGTGGTTGCCGTGCGGAGTTTGTGGCGCCTGCTGGTGCGAGGAGGGAGGGGAGGGGGCACGGGGGGGATAGGTACTGGAGGGGGGAGGGGCACGGGGAGGAGAGGTACTGGAGGGGGGAGGGGGTCATTTGTAGAATGAACTCGGTGTTTGTAACATAAATTAGCTTCTCTGTCCATTCACATGCACGTAAACAAACTGACGGAGGTGTTCGTGTGTTGCTCTTCATAATCACGTTTGCTCTCTACCTTCTCCATGTGCTGACAAGACAGCTGGTCTTTAGCGATAGAACGAGATTTACGATAGTCCTTGTTTTCTTTTATTAAGGCCTGTTTATGTTCGCGTAACTACTGTAGCTGTATCGAGCTTCTGACGATGGTAACTCGGATCGTTATCTCTTATGTAAGGAAAACAAGATGAGGAATATTTTGTCACTTATCTTTTTTTCTTTCCGTTTTTAATAAGATGAGTGTGAGTGAGGCAAAGGACTCTTCTGGGGCACTGGCTCTGCGTACCCCGCTCTTGTTTTCCTTCTTATCTGTTGCTGGAGATTCTGCTCGGCCAAGTTGCGCCTGGAGTATCCACCTGTAATTTAAGCAGGTGTCTGTTAAAACTTATGGGAGGAAGGGTCAACCTAGGATGTGTCCACAAGAGGATATATGGGGAGTGTAGAGGGGGCAGGGTGGGGTGGTGCTTATTGGAAAAGGTTATTACAGTACACATAAATCAGATAGAAGAGTGAGACATATGACTTACCATTCATCCCTCCCCTGCCCTCCACTCCCCATCACCAACTCCCCCAACCCCTCCCGTGCCCCACACTCCAACCCGCACCCACTCCCCTGCCCTCCAGCTCAAACCCAGCGTCTCTATCTCCGTTCTCTCCATCCTTCTTTGCACGCTCCTCGGCGTGACACGCGATGAGGCACAGGATGATAAACAAGAGTAGATGAACGTTTGCGAACGGAGCAA